ATCACCTTGCCAACAAAAGTCCGAATAGTCAAAGCTATGGTTTTTCCTGTAGTGATGTATGGAAGTGAGAGCTGGACCATAAAGAAAGCTGACTGCCAAAGAATTGATGCCTTTGAATTGTGGTGCTGGAGGAGGCTCTTGAGAGTCCCCTGGACTGCAAAGAGAACAAACCTATCAATTCTAAAGGAAATCAACCCTGAGTGCTCACTGGAAGGACAGATCCTGAATCTGAGGCTCCCTCCCTGGAAAAGACCTTAATGTTGGGAAAGTGTGAAGGCAAGAGGAGAAGGGGACGACAGAGGATGAGATGGTTGGACAGTGTCACCGAAGCAACCAACATGAATCTGACCCAACTCCGGGAGGCAGTGGAAGATAGGAGGGCCTGGCGTGCTCTGGTCCATGGGGTCACGAAGAGTCGGACACAACTAAACGACTAAACGAAATGAAACGAACGCCTTTGATAATAATAACTGTGTGCCACCAAAACAATTCTGACTTATGGTGACCTTTTTTTTTTAGTTTTCTAAGTAGACAGTACTCAGAGGCAGCCTATGTAACCTTGGGCAAACTGCAGAGCCCCAGGATGTCCCCAAAGGAAGGGAACAGTGAACTACTTCTGGGTATCCCCTGAAAAAGGTCACCATAAATCAGAATTGACACAGTTGTGGCATACTCAGTGTGATGTAGTCCAGTAGTCCCCAACCTTTTCTGAACCGCGGACTGGTTTGGGGGGCGGGGTTTGTGCGCGGTTGGCCAGGGCACCCATGTGTGTGCAAGAGTGGGTGGGGGTGCGTCTGAGTGGGCAGGGCATGTGTGCATGCATTCACAAGTGGATGGGGTGCATGGGGTTGGGGTGCATGGGGTTGGGACACCAGTGCGTACATGTGCGGTGGTGGGTGGGGCACCCAAGCATGCACACATGGGGGCCTGCGTGTGTGCATCGGGAGCATACATGTGTGTGTGTTAGGGGGTCAGGAGGTCTGTTTCCATGGCTCGGTCCTGCCAAGGCCACAGCCAGGGGGTCAGGAGGTCTGTTTCCATGGCTCAGTCCTGCCAAGGCTACAGCCCAATTAAAAGCCTTCTGGAACAGGAAGGTTTTGACCTGGCGCCGAAATGGCATCAGCGTCGGCGCCAGCAGAATCTGTCGGGAGGGCATTCCATAGTCTGGGGGGAGCTGCCGGAAAGGCCCTTTCTCTACAAGCCATCCCTCTTACCTTCTTGAGGGACGGCTCTTTCAAAAAGGCCCCCTGGCTAGATCTTAACTGCCAGACAGGTCCATATGGAAGGAGGCGGTCCTTCAGGTATCCAGGGCCCAAGCTGTTTAGGGCTTTATATGTCAAAACAAGCACTTTGAAATGGGCCTGGGCAGCAACTGGTAGCCAATGTAACTTAGACAGAATCGGCTTGATATGTTCCCTAGCGGCCCCACCACTCACCAGCCGCACATCTTGACTCTGGATCAGTTGCAGTAATTATGCGAGATGTTGCCAGTGTGTGTGTAACTGTCATGAGACTCCGCTCATCCAGGTAGGGCTGTAGCTGGTATAATTTCCGCAGCTGAAGGAAGGCGCCTCTGGCCACCGAGTCCACAAGGGCTTCCAGTGTTGGACTGGGGTCCAGGAGCATCCCCAAGCTGTGGACCCTGTTCCTTAGGGGGAGTGTAACCCCATTCAGGACAGGGAAATGGCCCTCCAGCCTGTCCGGTGAAGCACCCACTAACAGCACTTCCGTCTACATGACACATAAGGCTCCTCAGTACTTTCTACAGGCAAAACATGCTTTTCTTTCCTCCATTAGAATGAAGGAGAGAGCCTTGGCTAATAAGGTCTTGTCCAGAAACATCACAGTAATCATAAACATATGTTGCCTATTAAGTATGGTGTTAGAAAATTACCATTAGCTTGCTTTCATCAGTAGTTCTTTTACCTTTCATGGTGTTTGGCTCCTGGTACTGTCCTACTACAGTACAGCTCACAAGAAACTAATTACGAAAAGAGTTACTTGTAATTAGCTCCTTTTTGAGACAGTCAAGGCATATTTACATTACATTATTGCTGCAGTTTAACAAGGGACAATTTACTCCTGTGATATAACTGCAACTTATAAAGTTATCTTTGTAGTTATTACAGAGTGGTCTCACTAAATTGAGGAGGAGGGGGATTATTACAGCGCCCTTCCGCTCTGTTCTTAGTTCTAAGGAAACAAGGTGTCTTGGAGAATAGTGTTTTTTTTAAAATCATATCCAAAGTTTGTAGCATTCAAACTCTTTTGAAAATTAATTAAAACAACTGGTTTAGTTTTTGAGAAAAGACAAATGATGATTGCTAAAAACTGAAATTGTAATGCACAGATGTCTTCTGCTGGGGGATGCCTCAACCCAAAATATTTTGGGAGCAACCGCTTCTGGTCACAAACCACCTCTATAATAGTAAGAATGGGTTGGGGGTTTGGTATTATAATTTGTTTTTCAAAAAGTAGTCTTCTAGGTTCTAGAACAGAAGTCTCCAAACTATGGCTCACAGGCCACATTTGGCCTGCCTTGCCATTTTATCCAACCCATTTCCTTCAGCCAATGTGTGCGCACGCATGCAAGGGCAGGTATGCATGTGTGCATGCAGGCATGCATCTGGGCGGACATCTGTGTGGACGTCCATGCAAGCAAGGGTGCATGTGTGCAGACGTCTGTGCAGGTGGGCAGACAGGCGGCTGCACGTATGCGAGCATGCCCATACATTCCTTTGGCCCTCAAAAATGTGAAAAATATACAATGTGGTCCTCAAGCTCAAAAGTTTGGAGACCCCTGTTCTAGAAGATAGAACTATATAGCCATTACAGGCAGCAAATTGGGGGTATCATTGAGCAAGGACAAATGTAACATTAACATTATATATAAATGTGGGCTGTGATCAGATGGCCATTTGTCTCATTGTTTGGTTGAGATTGGGCATGAGCTGGTTGACTCCTTTACCCAGTAATCACACGGCATATGCACCATCATGAAGAAGCCCACTCCAGATTGATGCCTGAGTTTTTGGGTCCCGCCAGGGGCTACTGGTTTTTTTTTTTTTTGTGCAGATAGAATCACTCCATTTTGGTTTGGTTCCAGTATGTATGATTGCTGGGATCAAACCAAATATGTTGGCTGGTTGTCCCTTTGGTTAAGCCACTTATCAATCTTGAGAAATGGAAAAATTTTCTTTCCACAGGCTTATGAAGGGCCCTGTCCTTCCCCTTCCTAACATCTCATATATATTCCTAACATCTCAGCTTTAAAAGGGATGCTGCTCCATTCTGTATCCTCCAGCTCCCAGGAGGAAGCTTTCCATTTCTCTTTTATTTTTTTTAAAGTGAAGCAGCACATATGTACTACCCCAATGCACTTTTAAAAAATTCATTTGCTCTGTCCCTCCTCAGAGCCAAGGAGGAGTTTAATTTGCCACTATCCTGAAGTGGCTTTCTTTTTCATCCACTTCAAGATAATGGCAAATTGATAACAGACTGGTGCCGAACAAATAGGGTCACTTGAGGTCAGTACGCCATTTAGATGTGAGGACCTCCTAATGACCCTATTTAGTCTGTACTCACCTGCTCCAGCAAAGCTTGTAGCCACGTCCAAAGTTTTTGAGTTCTTCATTTCAGAACATGCAAGTTCATAGCTGTCTATTTTGCAGGATGTACAACTTTTAAAAATCCCCTAGAAAATGTATGCTTTAGGATTGCAAACCGGTAAAGGAAACAAAATACATTAATAACATTGTAGTTACATACTATACAGATACTGTATACAGTTTACCTCCATATTATAGTTTTGGAATTTAACACTGGAATGTTGCCAGAGTAATGTTTATACTGTCAGAGAAATCTAGCACTGAACTGATAATACATTCTGACCCCTTTCAAATGTGATGAATGATGCCTTCATTCTAAACTAAAATGATCAGTGCTCAATGATCAGTTGGAAAACATGGGAGTTGTAGTCCAACATATATGAAAGGCCCCAGACTGGAGAAGATTGATGAAAACTGTAAATTGGAAGAAAAATAGTCCAATATATGGATTGGACACAGATTGTGTTTGTTATAAGTAATGGGGCACGTTAGTAATCTTTTAAGTTCCTTTTATTTCAGTGGAAACGAAGTACAACTAATGAGGTGAAGAGTCGCCCGTATGTCTTTAGCTGCAAGCAAAAATACCTATAAAGCAATTCCCTTCCACCTGTAATAATAATAATAATTGCTTGTCATCAAGTCAATTCCAACTTATGAAGACTCTTCTAAGAGTTGTTGTGGGTTTTTCAGGCTCTTTGGCCATGTTCTGAAGGTTGTTCTTCCTAGTATTTCGCCAGTCTCTGTGGCCGGCATCTTCAGCGGACAGGAGTCGCACTCTTCTAAGAGTTTTCCAGGTCTAGTGTAGTCAGAAGTGGTTTATCAGTGCCGCCTTCTCAGGGGTCCCTGCGAGCATGCAGTTTGCCTAAGGCCACAGAGGTTGCCTCTTTTCCCAGAGCCATGGAGGGAAGTTCAACTCCCAACTTCTGCCTCTGCACTCAGGTACCTAACTCACTACCACCCAGTAAAATCACACAGTCTTGCCCACAGTATTTCACAACAGATGGTAAAAGCACCGCAGCAAGTCTAAAATATTGTTTTGATGTATGTCCATTGCATCCTACTGTTTCTGGCATCAGTTTTATTAAGAAATCCCTGTTCCTCCACCATTCCATTCCATTCTTCCTTTTACTTAGTCTCCAAGAAATCCATATTGTGTCACTTAAAATATGTTAATCATCATCATCAACAACAACAACATGCCATCAGGTCAATTCTGACTTATGGTGAACCTTTTCAGGTGGACAATGCTCAGAAGTGGTTTACCATTCCCTTCTTCTAGGGGAGTCCTGGGACTGTGCATCTTGCGCAAGGCTTACACAGACTGGCTCTACATGTAGGAGGCACAGTGGGGAATCATCCTTCCAAACTCTGGCTCAGCAGCCAGATTCCTGAGCTGTCCATCAAGTTGTTAAAGTGCCCCAATATTCATTCTCTCCCTCCCTCTTTCCCTCACCCCCTGCTTTATTTTTGCCAACTTCCTTTGAAACCTTACAGAAACATTCTAAATTGAAAACACATGAAGGCATCAAAGAAGCCAGTGTGGACAGATGTCTTCAGATTCCAGATTCATAGGAAAATACGTTACAAGATTTAAAAAGGGAGAAGACTGGTGGTAGCTGATTATCTCTAATGAATAAATGAAGGTTGCAGTGATCCACAGAGTCTTGCAGGCACGAGTAGGATGCTTGTGCTGTCACCAAATCAAGGGCCATAGATTCCCCATCTCTACATTATACAAAGTTCTAGTTTTCTTCTTCTAGATCCAGGCTTACCAGCAGAGTTATGGCTTGTTTATGCCTGTCTGTAAGAATATACCTCTGTTAAGATGGCTTTTACTCACTGGCTGAAAGCTGACAGCAGCCTTTCTTCTTAGGACCTCACCAGACAAACACAGTTTTTGTACCCAAAAATAGTACATACAAGAGGAAATGACCATCTATTTATTCTAGCAGAATTTTGCATCAGCCTTCTGGCAAATTAGCATACTTTTGGTTTGTAATTGGTCATTTGACATATATCATGGATTTATCTGTGAAGATTCTCAGTCACCCTGATGTGGTTATCTGTAAGTTAAGTCATAGCAACTGGACTTCTTTCTTGTTAGGTTGAAACATTCTGCTACTTATCCAAGCAGCTTCTTCAGTCTGAGGAGAGTTGGTAGAAGATCCCTAATATATCTTCCATATTGATTTCACTTGTTCCTTCATTTGAAGGACAAAGGACACTCACTTGATAACCAAGATGTACTCATTTTAGACCGAGAAGATAGATAGTTTGAGAGAGGGGTCAGGGAGGCCTTACATATGCATACAGAAAATCCCTCACTCAACAGGGGTGGAGGTCTTAAATCTGTCTCCTATTTATCATGCTGCCCTTTCATCTGTCCCCAGAAGGATTAGGGACACACACACAAGAAAGATCACTGTTAACAACCATCAACAACCCATGATAATGGGTGGAGAAGGACTACGGAAGTGGATTATCCCTTATCCCCAGTCCTTTGTGCTTCTAACAAGCCGATTCAGGCCAGGTGGAAGTGAAACCAACATGGAGGATATATCAGTGATCTCCTATCAACTCTCCTCAGACTTAAGAAGCTGAAGAAAATTGATGTTTAATATGTTTGTAAATCACACAAAATCTAAGATCCTTGTCAGAATGATTTTTGGTAAGGAAATGTTGCCCTAGAGGAGACTCCTGAATTTTGTTTCTAATGTGGGAGCAGTGCTCAAGAATACATACTTTGGTGCATCTAGTGCTCATCCCTACATATATTTTGGGACATGGGCATATGATGTACCTGCAGCACATTATTGGTGCTGTAGGTATTGAAATGGGTAAGTGGGATGCTACATCAATTTTCCCACTCTGACATCAATTTTCCCACACTGACATCCACAGAATTTTATGTCAAAAAGAGGCTTTTTGGATACATAGATAGCACTCACTTAGCCCAGCAGGACTAAACACCAACTTAGAACTTTCAGAATTTTTATAAACTTAGGGAATTACAGTATACAATACAGTAGAGAGGAAGGTCCCTTTAAGAAATTCTGGTAGTCAACGGGGGATATAAAATAATTTGATTTCTGGGAATGGTTTACAGCAGAGAAGTAACATACAAATAAGAGGACACTAGCATGTGGAATTGAATTATATTGTAAGTAAGATCCTGTTTACATTACCTAATAGTGGGGAGAGTATGAGCATCAAAATGAGGTCTATTATTATTATGTTTGAAAAGCATTTTAGGTTCATGAATGTTCCTGTTTCTAGCATCTTGGAGATATCTTCTGAAGAAGTAAAAATACCACAAAATGAGCTTAGTGGACAATTATTTATGCTTGGAGCTCATCAAATTACCCCAAGGATTCAAGACCTTGACTACATATTTGAATGGACTTTTTACCCTAGAGTTTGATTTTCTGAGTAGGGACTGCACACATTTGCATAGGAGAACTTTATCATATTATTTACTTGCTTAGTATTAGACAGGTCATTGTTAATATATATTGTTTGAAGGTTTGATATAAATTGTTGATACAATTTTGTTCATACTTCTGTACAGTATATCACATACTAATGCTTTAAGTTTTGTTCATCTCTTTGCTATCTCAAGCATGTAGTACCGAAATATTTAAGTACCTGGAAGGATAATGTTATAAGGAAATACATATTTTCTTTAACAAATGGTTCGACCATTTGGCTAGAAAAATACTGTCCAATCATTTCTGAATTTTATATGATATAAATGCCATTCATGGTTGTATTTATGCCTGGTTTTTATAATCTGTTGGGGAGGGGGAAATATAATATTCTTAACATAAAGGCACATCTAATGTGACTGGCTAGATTTTATTTGGTATTTTGCACATGTTTAAGTTTAGAGGCATGTTTATTATAATTTATCTTAATGCTTTTGAAGTTAAATATTCCCCTCTTGTATCACTCTAAAAGGATACAGGAGGGAAATACATAACCTCAAAACCATTGAAAGAAATTTTCATTAAACGGTGCAGGCTTGGGATGTAGGGGTTGTGCATTCACAGACAAAAATTAACACAAACTCTGGAATTCCCACATCATATTCCATATCCAGACTGGGAAAACTCTTGGCAGATTGTGCCTAAGGCACTTCTTGCATTATCTGGTCAGCCTCTGCTGTACAAAACCAAACCAAACTAAACTCAAACTTTGAGTGCATTTACAATTCCACTGTTACTAAAGCAAAAAGAAAAGGTTGTAAATCGTCATTTCTCAGAATCTTTACTTTCAAGCTTTCATAATGTGCAGTGCCAGGGGAAAGAGCAGAGGCTACCAGTTTCTGGGAGCTGTCCAAGACACTGCCTCTGTAAAACCCTCTAACTTTGGGTGTTATAAACGATGCTGGAATTATTGCTCTAATAATGAGTGCATGCAAAACACCTACCTTTGGAGAGATCAAAACAGAAATACTAAGTAATACCATTAGAGGCAATTAACTCTTGTGTTTAAAAAAAGTTATCTGGCTCAGATTTATTTTATTCTCTGCAAGCGACACATACACATAAATCCTCTCTCTCTCTCTCTCTCTCTCTCTGTGTGTGTGTGTCCACTTACAGATCACCCTAGCGTGGGAAAGACGCAAGCTGCTGGTATCTAACCTGGGGATTTATGCTGTAAATCTGATTACCTCCATATGATGGACGTGTCCACTTGGAAGGAAATGGAGGTGGCACTGGTTAGTTTTGACAACACTGACGAGGTAATGGAAGATCCCTGTTTTTCAAACGACCTCAGTGCTGCTGGCCAGTCACATAAGCGACGTCCCAGATGTTCCAGCCTCCTGTCCAACTGGAAGATCCTCATCAACAGTGAGAACACTAATAATGAGACCATATTCTCCAAATTGTCTGCTGAGTTCTGTGAGCAGCTGGGGGCAGAAAATGTGGGCATGGATGAGGGTGACCAAAGGATCATCATCAACATTGCTGGGCTAAGATTTGAGACACAGCTCAAGACTCTTAAACAGTTTCCAGAGACTTTGCTTGGAGACCCTGAGAAGAGGATACATTACTTTGATTCAATGAGGAATGAGTATTTCTTTGACAGGAACAGGCC